TAATTATAGAAAAAAAATAGGATTCCTCTACAGTAAAAGAGAGAACTCAGAAAAGGAAACCAAGAAAACAATACCATTTACAATAACCAACCACAAATTGAGATATTTGGGAGTCAACTGAACTAGAGATACAAAAGAAAAATACAGAATATTTCTGCAAGATACAATAAAAAAATCTAAAGAAATGAAAAAAAATGTGCCCTGTGTATGGATAGGAAGACTCAATATTGTGAAAATGACAATCCTACCAAAAGCAATCTACATGTTCAGTGCAATACCAACCCAGATACCAAATTCATTTTTCAAGGAAATAGAAAGAGAAATTATTAAATTTATTTGGAGAGGCAAGAGACCTCAAATAAGCAAACACTTCTGAGAAACAAAAAGGAGGTATACAGCAGTAGTAACCAGAACAACATGGTACTGGTACAATTACAAGCACATAGAACAATGGAGTAGAATTTAGAACCCAGGAATAGACCCAGTTATCTATGGTCAACTGATATTCAGTAAGGAATTTAAAGCTATCAAATAGGGAAATGATAACTTCCTCCACAAATGGTGCTGGCAAAACTGAACTTCTGCCTGTAGAAAGCTGAAATAGGATCCACATCTGACACCATACACAAAAATTAACTGAAGGTGAATCAGAGACCTGGGAGTAAAGCCCAAACCAATAAAGAGACAAACTGGGATCAAGCTTAGAAGTACTAGTCCAAGATAAAAAGAGACAACCAAATACAATCAGAAATGCATACTCTGAAAATGATAAAATTGATACATAAGGCCTTATAAAGATTAAATCCATGTGTACATCTAAAAGTTTTTCCAACAGGGTGAAAGAAAACCTAACAACTGGGAACAAGCATTTAGTAATACCATCTCAGACAAGAGTCTCTTAACAAAAGTTTACAGAACACTCCTAGGCCTCCACAAGAAAAAGACTGACAACCCAATTCCAAAATGGGTAAAGGACATTGAAAGAATTTTCACAGAGGAAGATATTCAAATGGCAAACAGACACATGAAGAAATGCTCCAAATCACTGACAATAAGAGAAATGCAAATCAAAACCACCATGAGGTACCATCTCACTCCAGTAACAGTGGCAAAGTTGAACAGGGAAGCAAGTTATAAATACTGGGGAGGATGTGACAAGAAAGGAGCTCATTGTTGATGGAATTGTAAAATGGCACAACCATTCTGGAAGGCAGGTTGGTTTTTCCTCAAAAAGTTGAACATATGACTCAGCTATTCCACATGGAATATGTAGTTGTTGTTGTTATGTGCCGTCGAGTCCCTTGCGACTCATAGTGAACCTATGTACAACAACCCTAAACTCTGCTCTGTCCTATGCCAATTACACTGTCTCTGCCACTCCCATCCCAATTACTCCAGTAACTAAATCAATCCACCTCGTAGAGGGCTTTCTCCTCCTGGGATGTCCATCCATTCTACCAAGCATGATGTCCCTCTCCAAGGACTGGTCTCTCCTTACATGTCCAAATTATGTCAGAAGGAGCCCAGAATCCTTGCCTTCAAGCAGCTGCCCGCTTTAACACTCTCCAGGATGAATCTGTTTGTTTCCCTAGCAGTCTATGGTACCCTCAATACTCTTCTCCAGCACCACAGCTCAAAGACAATTCTTGTTCTAGCCCCCTTGGTCATCGTCCAACTCTCTGATGCATAACAAGTGATTGCAAAGACCACAGCCTGTATCAGATGCACATTGGTCTCCAGAGATACATCATTGCTCTTCAGTACTTTGGATAGGTCCCTAACAGCAGACTTTCCCATCATAATACGTCTTTTAATTTCCTGGCTACTGGTGCCAAGAGTGTTGACTGTGGAGCCAAGGAAATCAAAGGTGTGAAAAATCTCAATCTCTTCACCATCCATCCTGATGCTGCCAATTGGTCCAGTTGTGAGAATCTTTGTCTTCTTGATATTGACCCTCAATCCACACTGAATGGGCTGGAGTTCTTGACCCTCTGAGCCAGGAAGGCTGTAGCGGTAGCAGATGGGAAGCCTCCAGTGGTAGCAGACAGGAAGGCTGCAGTGGTAGCAGACTGGAAGGCTGCAGTGGTAGCAGACAGGAAGGCTGTAGTGGTAGCAGACAGGAAGGCTGAAGTGGTAGCAGAAGGGAAGGCTACAATCGTAGGAGACGAGAAGGTTGCAGTGGTAGCCGACGGGAAGCCTGCAGTGTTAGCAGACAGGAAGACTGCACTGGTAGCAGATACGAGGCTGCAGTGGTAACAGACAGGAAGGCTGAGTCGCAGATCTCCCAGCCAAGTCCAAGTTTACAAAAATGGTGTTTCCCCACAGACCTCTGGGAACTGTAGTCAGTACCTGCAGAGGTAGCCGACTGGAAGGCTGCAGTAGTAGCAGACGGGAAGTCTGCAGTTGTAGCAGACAGGAAGGCTGTATTGGTAGCAGACAGGAAGGCTGCAGTGGTAGCAGAAGGAAAGGCTGCTGTCGTAAGTGACGAGAAGGTAACAGTGCTAGCAGACGGGAAGCCTGCAGTGGTAGCAGATGGGAAGCCTGCAGTGGAAGCAGACAGGAAGGCTGCAATGGTAGCAGATAGGAAGGTTGTAGGGGTAGCAGACAGGAAGTCTGCATTGGTAGCAGACAGGAAGGCTCCAGTGGTAGCAGACGGAAAGGCTGCAGTGGTAGCAGACAGGAAGGCTGAGTCGCAGATCTCCCAGCAAAGTCCAATTTTACAAAAATGGCGTTTCCCCACAGGCCTCTGGGAACTGTAGTCAGTACTTGCCGTGGTAGCAGACAGGAAGGCTGTAGTGGTAGTAGACAGGACGTTTGCATTGTTTTCAGACAGGAAGGCTCCAGTGGTAGCCGACGGGAAGGCTGCAGTGGTAGCAGACAGGAAGTCTGAGTCGCAGATCTCCCAGCAACGTCCAAGTTTACAGAGATGGTGTTTTCCCACAGACCTCTGGGAACTGTAGTCAGTACTTGCCGTGGTAGCAGACAGGAAGACTGTAGTGGTAGCAGACAGGAAGGCTCCAGTGGTAGCAGATGGGAAGGCTGCAGTGGTAGCAGACAAGAAGGCTGAGTCGCAGATTTTCCAGCAAAGTCCAAGTTTACAAAACTGGCGTTTCCCCACAGACCTCTGGGAACTGTAGTCAGTACCTGCAGAGGTAGCCAACTGGAAGGATGCAGTGGTAGCAGACGGGAAGTTTGCAGTGGTAGCAGACAGGAAGGCTGTAGTGGTAGCACACAGGAAGGCTGGAGTGGTAGCAGACGGGAAGGCTTCAGTGGTAGCAGACAGCAAGGATGTAGTGGTAGCAGACAGGAAGGCTGAGTTGCAGATCTCCCAGCAGAGTCCAAATTTACAAAGATGGCGTTTCCCCACAGACCTCTGGGAACTGTAGTCAGTACTTGCAGTGGTAGCAAAAAGGAAGGCTGCAGTGGTTGCAGACAGGAAGTCTGAGTCGCAGATCTCCCAGCAACGTCCAAGTTTACAAAGATGGTGTTTTCCCACAGACCTCTGGGAACTGTAGTCAGTACCTGCAGCAGTAGCAAACAGGAAGGATGCAGTGGTACCAGACGGGAAGGCTGCAGTTGCAGAGACAGGAAGGCTGAAGTCGTAGCAGCCGGGAATGCTGAGTCTCAGATCTCCCAGCAAAGTCCAAGTTTACAGGTATGGGGTTTCCTCGCAGACCTCTGGGAACTGTAGTCAGTACCTGCAGTGGTAGCGGACAGGAAGGCTGCAGTGATAGCAGACAGGAAGGCTGCAGTGGTAGCAGATAGGAAGGCTGCAGTGGTAGCAGACAGGAAGGCCGCAGTGGTATCAGACCGGAAGACTGCAATGGGAGCAGTCAGGAAGCTAGAGTCGCAGATCTCCCAGGCAAGTCAAAGTTTACAAAGATGGCGGTTCCCCACCGACCTCTAGGATCTGTAGTCAGTACATGCAGTGGTAGCAGACTGGAAGGCTGCCGTGGTAGCAGATGGGAAGCCTGCAGGGTTGCAGACAGGAAGGCTGTAGTGGTAGCAGACAGGAAGGCTGCAGTTGTAGCAGACGGGAAGGCTTCAGTTGTAGCAGACAGGAAGGCTGCAGCGGTAGCAGACAGGAAGGCTGCAGTGGAACCAGACCGGAAGACTGAAGTGGGAGCAGTCAGGAAGCCTGAGTTGCAGATCTCCCAGCCAAGTCCAAGTTTACAAAAATGGCGTTTCCCCACAGACCTCTGGGAACTGTAGTCAGTACCTGCAGAGGTAGCCGACTGGAAGGCTGCAGTAGTAGCAGACGGGAAGTCTGCAGTGATGGCAGACAGGAAGGCTGCATTGGTAGCAGACAGGAAGGTTGCAGTGGTAGCAGACAGGAAGGCCGCAGTGGTATCAGACCGGAAGACTGCACTGGGAGCAGTCAGGAAGCCGGAGTCGCAGATATCCCAGGCAAGTCCAAGTTTACAAAGATGGCAGTTCCCCACCGAACTCTGGGATCTGTAGTCAGTATGTGCAGTGGTAGCAGACTGGAAGGCTGCCGTGGTAGCAAACGGGAAGCCTACAGTGGTAGCAGACAGGAAGGCTGCTGTGGTAGCAGACGGGATTGCTGCAGTGTTAGCAGACAGGAAGGATGTAGTGGTAGCAGACACGAAGGCTGTAGTGGTAGCAGACAGGAAGGTTGCAGTGGTAGCAGACGGGAAGGCTGCAATGGTAGCAGACAAGAAGGATGTAGTGGTAGCAGACAGGAAGGCTGAGTCGCAGATCTCCCAGCAACGTCCAAGTTTATAAAGATGGCGTTTCCCCAGAGACCTCTGGGAACTGTAGTCAGTACCTGCAGCGGTAGCAGACAGGAAGGCTGCAGTGGTACCAGACGGGAAGGCTACAATGGTAGCAGACAGGAAGGCTGCAGTGGTAGCAGACAGGAAGGCTACAATGGTAGCAGATAGGAAGGTTGTAGGGGTAGCAGACAGGAAGTCTGCATTGGTAGCAGACAGGAAGGCTCCAGTGGTAGCAGACGGAAAGGCTGCAGTGGTAGCAGACAGGAAGGCTGAGTCGCAGATCTCCCAGCAAAGTCCAATTTTACAAAAATGGCGTTTCCCCACAGGACTCTGTGAACTGTAGTCAGTACTTGCCGTGGTAGCAGACAGGATGGCTGTAGTGGTAGTAGACAGGAAGTTTGCATTGTTTTCAGAGAGGAAGGCTCCAGTGGTAGCAGATGGGAAGGCTGCAGTGGTAGCAGACAGGAAGTCTGAGTCGCAGATCTCCCAGCAACGTCCAAGTTTACAAAGATGGTGTTTTCCCACAGACCTCTGGGAAGTGTAGTCAGTACCTGCAGCGGTAGCAAACAGGAAGGCTGCAGTGGTACCAGACGGGAAGGCTGCAGTTGTAGCAGACAGGAAGGCTGCAGTGGTAGCAGACAGGAAGGCTAAAGTAGTAGCAGACGGAAATGCTGAGTCTCAGATCTCCCAGCAAAGTCTAAGTTTACAAGTATGGCGTTTTCTCGCAGACCTCTGGGAACTGTAGTCAGTACCTGCAGTGGTAGAGGACAGAAAGGCTACAGTGGTAGCAGACAGGAAGGCTGCAATGGTAGCAGATAGGAAGGCTGCAGTGGTAGCAGACAGGAAGGCCGCAGTGGTATCAGACCGGAAGACTGTAGTGGGAGCTGTCAGGAAGGGGAGTCGCAGATCTCCCAGGCAAGTCCAAGTTTAAAAAGATGGCGGTTCCCCACCGACTTCAGGGATCTGTAGTCAGTACGTGCAGTAGTAGCAGACTGTAAGGCTGCCGTGGTAGCAAACGGGAAGCCTGCAGTGGTAGCAGACAGGAAGGGTGATGTGGTAGCAGACGGGAAGGCTGCAGTTGTAGCAGACAGGAAGGATGTAGTGGTAGTAGACACGAAGGATGCAGGGGTAGCAGACAGGAAGGCTGCAGTGGTAGCAGACAGAAAGCCTGAAGTGGTAGCAGACGGGAATGGTGAGTCTCAGATCTCCCAGCAAAGTCTAAGTTTACAAGTATGGCGTTTCATCACAGACCTCTGGGAACTGTAGTCTGTACCTGCAGTGGTAGCGGACAGGAAGGCTGCAGTGGTAGCACACAGGAAGGCTGCAGAGTTAGCAGAAGGGAAGGCTGCAGTCGTAAGAGACGAGAAGGTTGCAGTGGTAGCAGACGGGAAGCCTGCAGTGTTAGCAGACAGGAAGGCTGCAATGGTAGCAGATAGGAAGGCTGTAGTGGTACCAGTATGGAAGACTGCCGTGGGAGCAGCCAGGAAGCCTGAGTTGCAGATCTCCCAGACAAGTCCATGTTTGCAAAGATGGCATTTCCCCACCGACCTCTGGGATATATAGTCAGTACGTGCATGGGTAGCAGACTGGAAGGCTGCAGTGGTAGCAGACAGGAAGGCTGCAGTGGTAGCAGACGGGAAGGCTTCAGTGGTAGCAGACAGGAAGGATGTAGTGGTAGCAGAC